ACAGCACATGCTTGCTTCACTCTGGGCCGGAAAACCAGTCAACATCACCATGGAGATGAGAAGGAAGTGGTGGTGTGAAATGTGTCTGCGAGTTTGATAGCTGCAGGAAGATGAGCAAAGGCACGTTTACAATTGATAAAGCCAAATGTAAATAACGGTCTTGAAATTATAGTTCCTGAAAGTGGACTTGGTGATAAAAGAACTGAACATTTTTGAAAGTCTTCATGAAAAGTCAATATTCATTATCTAATAATAAAATTAGCTATCTTACAAAAATAAGCAAATGATTTCATCAGTGTTGCCATCTTAGTTTTGCATGGGCACTCCTAGTCGGTAATTGTTTGATGCTCACATACGGTGCATGTGATGTCTCGGCTCGTGTGTGAAACGCAGCCTTGTTGATTAGGTGACATCTCCTTTCTGAGCACCAAAGGATGCGTCTGTTTTATAACACCAGCGTGACGTAAGTGCCTGTCACATGAGGGTGCTGAAACGTCCTCGGATATGGCATCCGCTGACTCCGTCTCTCTCGTCTTCAAATAGTCTTCTGTTGCTGAAATATGCTAATTCTATACTTTGTCTCTTTGTGTTTGATCCATGAACGGTAGATATTTAAAGTGCATGGCTGTTCAGTTGGAGCCGGTTTACTTTCTCCCTTTACAGTAAGAAGCTTATGAGCAGTTCTTAAAATGCAGCTGTGCAACTTTTAAATCAAGTTTATTAACTGGGTTATAGGCAAAAATAGATAAAATAGTGGTCGGGCTATTCTGAGCTGTAGTTGACACTGATCTGGACTTCTTTTAGATTTCCTGCTCAGCCTCTCAGATGTTCCAATTTATTATTAAGTTCCACCGTATAGTATTTATGCCTTAATTACAGCAACAAAAGAGCTACTTGAAGTGATTTTATAACTTCACATTGATGTTTTTGTCAGAATGCACCCTGTGCCCTCAGCTCACTCTACGCTCACCAAGCTGGGCGTAATCACACAAACGTACACAAATATGCAAACATTTATTTTAGAGCACGTATAGCTTTTCCTCCATAACACAGCTAAGACAAAAATACAGTAAAACGTTCTACAAATTGGCTAGTGTTTTCTAAAGTATACATTTATGAAGTCTGAACTCTAACACGTTCACCGCTTTGACATTTGATGTCCTGTGTGAAAGAACAGAAAAAAGTAACTGGATGTATTTCTTTCTTCAGAAAAGTGACCGTTCTTTTGGACAACATTCACATCGCAGGCAAAACTGGTCCGTAACCAGTGACTTTCTAAACAACTGGTCTTATCAGCCGCGTTGCATTTCATCCGACTTGAATTAGAGGTGTGTGGATTGATCCAAATATTGATATTATCGATACCAATGCCTTGCAGGTATATGTTTAAACACACGTGCTAACATGTGTAGTATCCATATTTACTTCCTTAAACACAGCGTGCTGCTGCATGTGATGTCACGTCTTCATCTGCGGTACACATTTAATGTATGAACTAAACGAACTCCTATGAAAATGAGACCTGCAATGTAAACAGAGCCTCAGTGATATAGACGACCATTTATCTATTCGGTTTCTTTACCTTATTTTCAGCCATCTTTGGGAGCTTGCGCCTTTTTTCAGTAGTTATGACGGGGGACACCTCAGACAGATTGTTAATCCATCACAGGGCCACAATGAGAGAAACGAGACAACCATAAAAGCTCTTACTCTTCGTTTCAAGCAACTGTCATAATCATTAAAGTACCTAAAGTTCCTACAAAACTGTGATTCTGAAAGGCTTTGTGTTACAAGGCAATGCTGGTGTTTATAAATAAATAAAAATACACCTAAAGAATAGAAGTCCAGTTGTTTGTCTTTGGTTTTGGATTATAATCTTCTAGTTGGTTACAGTTACTGTATAGTTGATATTTTAAGTTTTACATTGCTATAGTTTGCCCACCTCTTACTGGCTTTAATTGGGTTGGGTTGTAAAATGGTTTTGCTAAAGTTTGACAGGTGACACTTACTGCTGTAATCAGACTGCAGCTTCTTAACAAAGACGAGCGACGTGGAACTAAAGTAGGTACTTGAGAAAGCATGAGAGCTGAAGCACAAATAGTCTGACAAAAACTGTTGCCTGCAACTCTCTTTGTTTGCAAACATGGGGATAGCTTTTGTTCTGGTTTTATCACGTGTAAAGAAACGTCAAAACACCGACACCGCTTTAGAGAACTAGGTTATCTAATCATCACAGAAAATAAACTTCAGTGCCTGATTTTTGTGTTTTGTTTCGAACAATCCTGGTAAATAAGTTATGCTACCCAACCCTAACAAGATGGCGTTTTTACAAATGCGACACTGATTCTTCTGCAGCCACTCCATCTCTGAGGGAAAATGGAGCAAAGCAGACAAAATAGCACAAACATAAATAAGATGCAGGATTGACTCACTCACTAACGAGATGTTGACAAATAAATAAATGATAATTTAAAAAAAATCCATAAATACAAAAAGGCAAATATGTTCTAAATTAGTCAAATACCGTGTCTTTCATTGGGACTCGCAGCTTGTATTGTGTCATTGTTAAACCTCAGGTTTCATTAAGAATGCACACTTGTCATTTATGTTATAATAGCCAATAATAGTTTACAAAATTGGAGCATATTCAGTGCCAGTGACAATAAAATGCTGGGTGAGATGCGAGGTTATTAATAGAGCATAAATAGAGCAACCTGCCAACATCGCTGCCTGCAGGCATCAACAAATAAACATGCACGTAGACGAGCACACGCATCATATGTTTGTCGAGCTGTGCCTGCTGTCGTAACGAATGTCAGGTCTACGTAACGCAGCGCTGTGAAACATGGTCAGTCCTCCTGAATGTGCTTGAAGCAGTTTGGTATAATTAATGTGTAAGGATTGAGGTTCCCTGCGGTGTTTTATTCTGTTGAGTCACTACGGAGACACGCGCCATCACAATTATTGCATCTAAAAGCTCACATCTCGTCTAAACATGGTCTTATCTGGAATGTGACTGAGCCAAATTATATTTAAAAAATGCACATTTTTCAGGTTTTTCCTCTTCAATGTTTCCTAACAATCGTGATCTTTCCAGTTTAGCACGCTTTGCTTTGTCTTTATTTCTGTTAAGAAAAAGAATTGTATATCAAAATGGAAGAGAGGATAAATAAGAGCTGCAGCATACGTGGATCCTGGGAGCCAGTTCAGCAACTTTAACAAATGTTTGACATCACATTGAAAAATCTGTGACAAGACATGCTACTAAGGAGGTTTACCAAATGAAACAAACTGTATTAAAACTGTCCTAAACTCTTCAGATCAGTTCTCCATGACTTGTACTGCAGGAACCGTTAGTTCCTGTAACTACTTGTGTTATAGGGAACCTTTTCCTGGTTTAACAGGAACCCATGAGTGACCCGAAGAGGACACAGTCGATCTAGATGTAAGCCAATATTGACCAACGCTCACTCCGTGTGTCCCATTAAACAAATTCATACTGCAAACAACAACTTGTGCTGTCAAATCAATCTGTGGAAGAAATGCAACAGAATTAGAAAACGGTGCAGGTTTTAAAACAAAATAAAATTTAAATGACTAGCAGTTTTACGAAGAATTAAAGATTGGATAGAAAGGAACAATAAGTGGTGTAATTCATGTTGGCATTCAGATTTATTTTTATCCACTGATTGTTGTTAAAGCTCAGGTCATTGTCTTGTCTGAACTGAAACGGATTATTAAACTGGCATTACTTACAGAAAATGTACCTTTTATATATTTTTTATCACTATCACCATAATTTCTATTCATTATTACCAGTATGTTAAACTTGCAGGGTATAATACCAGTTGAATATTGTTTAATTAGTACTTTATTTCACTGGGAAGAAAGCTGCTGACTTACCCGTCTTGTTTGTCCGAGCAACATTGTGCTCTTTTCTCCACCTCTGTGGAATAATCTACAATCTGTTGCAGATGTTTTAGTCTCTTGGTTGTCCATTCTAAGCTCGTGTTCTAAAAACACGTCTTCTTCCCAACTTCGCTGTAATCATAACACCCTTGACACACAACAAATTTGTGGTTCCAACTAGGCGTACTCTGTTTTGATGGCTGCCATGCGTACAAGTAATGTGGCTTTACTGGCTGTAGGCCGACGTCTACGCAGTTCTTTTGATTCCTCTGGGTTAAAGCTTTAACCCTCGCGGAGCTTGAATAGAACCGTTTGGTCCAAAAACACCAAACCTTAGAGCCGTAACGCACCCCTCTTTTTCAGCCTACAGCACAATTAAACAATTTACACACCATGTTATTGTTTTTATCACCAAGTATTTTGTGCAGATTAACTTTAGACTCATACCTCAGGTTAGCTAACTTTGGATCTTCCTGGTTTGGTTAAAATATATATATATATATTCTTGTTTATTCATCCTTTTTTAAGCTATAATTGCTTTTATAATGTCCTGCACCGTGTAAATCGTCCTCAAATATCAAGAATTAGTTGCTGTAGAAGTCGACAGTAATAAAGTCAGCAGGAGTTTTGAGCAATAAATTATATATTTATAGGAATTGAGGACGACTGTTGGACCAGAACTGGGCCGCTCTGAGTTCTTGCTATCTTTTCAGAGTTATAATAAAAACATTGTCATGTGAATAAGTGCAAAAACCGACCTGCGCCAGTAAAGGACGTAACCTTAACGAGCTCTGCAGTAAAGCGTCATAAAAAGTTAAAGGTTGCAGCGTGTATAGATTTTATTGTCACGTGAAAATATGTAGCAGGAAAACTGATTTGGTCAAAGTGTATTTTAATGGAGGCGTGTTGAGCTTAAACCAGTTGCAGCGTGGTCTGGATGTATAATTTTTGGGTGGAGTTGTCCCAACGTTTTACATTTTATTTTCATGTTAAGCTTCAATACGAGCATGAATCATTTCCGACGGGTTAACTTGACTGTGTTCTTTCATATTTAAAAAAAACCTCTCCTGTTTTCTTTTTCCTCTGCGCAGATAAACGAGTTAAGCCATGTTCAGATTCCCATCATGCTTATGCCAGATGACTTTAAAGCCTATTCCAAGATTAAAGTGGACAACCACCTCTTCAACAAGTAAGGCCTTTTCATAAATCTTTGAGAGACAATCTGAGTGTTACGCCTTAAGATAACACATGTTCAAGACTTAAATAATTATAAACTGTGTACTTTGTTTCCCCTGAATTATTGCTTTAAACACAGAGAGAACATGCCTAGCCATTTCAAGTTTAAGGAGTACTGCCCTCTCGTGTTTCGAAACCTCAGGGAGAGGTTTGGCATCGACGATCAGGATTTCTCGGTACGAACAGTTTCTGTGCTTTTCCTCAAACCATCTACTGTTTCTTGTCATCTGAACAAATCTGAACCGCAGTAAATTAGTGTTATACACACAGTTGTATAGTTTTACAGGCACAGGATAATATTTCTAAATCTGATATCCTTAACCACTATTGGCTTGTGATTTCTAAGCCCTGTGCAAGTATATTGAATTGGATCCCTCTTCTAAAATATCTCGGACGTGGCCTCGTTTTGATCCAAGTGTTATTATTTCTTGATATTTTTTCTTCTCTCTTCCTTAGTAATCCCCCAGTTCTCAGTGCAGTGGTTTGGCAGCAGTTGGAGGTCACTGTGCTCCAGTGCAGCTGTCTGTTTTACATATTTACTTTGGAGTTCACTTGGTTGCAGTGAATGGGTTAGGAATTGTGACAAAGAGCTAGTCCCAGCCACAAAAAGGCTCCTCAAACCTAAAAAAACATCTTAAACCATTGTTTTATGTGTTTTACCAGTGCTGCTCAATCCTGTCCTGCATGTTTTAGTTGGTGTCCTGCTTTTCAACGTCTTCAAGTTCTGCAGAAGTCCGTTAATCATTCAGGTGTGTCAAAGCAGAGAAGCAGCTGAAACATGCAGGATGTTGAGGACCAGGATTAGACACCACCACTCTTAAATGCCAAAAGTTCAGGAGCGTAAAGGGAGCTGATGATGGGTCAAGAGTTCTTGGAGAACGAGGCGTTAAGCTGGAAGATGTTGGATTACGTTACGTTTGAGCTCCAAAGTCTGGCAGCAGCTTTGTTTGGAGCTTTGGACGGGCAGCGAGCGCAGGGTCAGAACTCGTGTTTGGACTGCATTAACATCATCCTGAAGCTGATGATGCAGCTGGTTTAACACCTAGAAACTGAAAATATCTTTACCAATATAAATTCTCATGGTTTTTACTTTTACTTTTTCTTCCCTTTGCTGTGCAGAACTCTCTGACGCGCAGCGCCCCCTTGAACAGTGAAGCCCAGGGCCGCAGCGGGGCCCGCTTCCATACCTCCTATGACAAGCGCTACGTCATCAAGACCATCAGCAGCGAGGATGTGGCCGAGATGCACAACATCTTAAAGAAATACCATCAGGTTAGAACAAAATAAAACCATTTATATAGAAAAATGCCAGCTTTAATTCTGTTCTAGGATTCTTTCTCTTACTGTCTGAATTAGCATCTACAAATTTGAACTTCTGAATATTTTCACCAGTTTACAACGTGCACAGATATCTTCAGCTTTGTGCCTCGCGCCAAAATCTTAATACTGAAAATTGAATTCCATTGCCCGTTTTATTAACACGGCCAATAGACATTAAATATTGTCCTGGTACAGATTTCCCTGGAGTGGAGAGAGAGCCCATAGGACCTTCCTGTCCATTTATCACTTCAATCACTGAGCAGAGCCCACAAAGGGATCGTGCTGCGTTTTATTTACCCACTTGTGCATGCTGCAGGCACCCTTTGTGACTATAAGAGGGTCATAAACTTGCGTCCCTCACTCTCTTTTTGGTAGTTTATTGTGGAGTGCCATGGCAACACGCTGCTGCCTCAGTTTCTGGGGATGTACCGACTCACGGTGGATGGAGACGAGACCTACATGATTGTTACACGCAACGTCTTCTCCCACCGCCTTTCCGTCTACAAAAAATATGACCTCAAGGTAGGAGGGGAACGAATCGGGAACAGTGATGACCACAATATAAGTTGTTTTTTTCTGTTTCTCCAATTAATGCTTATCAAACTTTTTATTACTTTCTTCTAGGGATGCACAATATTGAATTTTTGGCCGATAGCGGATATGTCGTTGTGTTAAAACTTATTTGGCCAATACTGATATTTTTCCCCTAGACCTACTTACAGAGACTACAAAGCTTTCTCTGCTGTGGGATTAAAATATTACATGATTCTGCGTGGTCTTTGCTACCAAATGCAGATGCCAAAAAGGGAAAATGATGCAACACTTCAACTTGGATGATGTTTAATGTCAAATTTATCTCTCTAACACAATGACATCACTCGAACAGCGCAAATTTATAAACTTTCACAAATCTAACCTGTTCACAAGCGACATGTGAAAAGTGCATAAGTAGTAGTGCATTAATAGATATACTTGACAGTTTCTTAAATTAAAAATTAACTTAAAACAGAAGCCTTTTACATCGGTGAGTTTTTCTGATGGAATGTCCGATATTTAACTTTATCGCTAATATCAGCCGATACGATACATGCCGATAATATCGTGCATCCCTACTTTCTTCCTGTCAAACTTCCATGCTGTAGGTTTTTATCCAGATGATTAATTATTCGTCACAATAACTCTTGAATCTCTTTTATTCTTGTAGGGTTCTACTGTGGCAAGAGAAGCCAGCGACAAGGAGAAGGTACAGTCACCTTCCATGTGCTGGGTTCCACTATTTATTGTTTTTACATTTTCACAGGATCAAACAACTTTTCTAATATTCTTGAAACAGAAAATTTAGATTTTTTTAAGGCAAATTCAAATTTTCTGCATTCAGAATGACCATTCTGCTTTGCAGGAAAACATTTTTGTGGTTCAGGAACGTGACATTTTCTTGGCACTTGCACCTCATTAATGTCCTAATATGTTTTTTTTAGTAACGCAAGGTGCAAAATATAATTTAGAATTAATTTCATTATCATTTTACACATGCACCGTTTGACAGATGTGTTTTAATGTGAATAAAATGTGCCATCAACGGGTCAGTTGTGCTGACGGAGCTACTTTTCAGCGTGGATAGTTAGAAAACGAGCGAGAGAACAACCTGTTTACAAAACCAGACACGGCTTCACTCAGCTTCCTGCCCGCTGTCATCACCCAAACACACTAATCCAGTTGGAGTGTAGCTTTTCTCGTTGGGTGGAAATGACAGTAGCAAATATCCATTTTCTTCAATTAGAACCCACCTCATCCCTTCATCCCCCTTTGTAGCCACTGCATGCTCTTCGTGCCTCTTTAATTTGCTTCATTCCCTCTAACCTCGCTTCTGTAGTTCCCCTGCTTGCTGTCTGTGTGAAAGTCTGAGGTTGTGTGTGCTTGGCTAGGTATGTGTTGGAAGTTTTACCCACATGTGTTTATGGAGCAGTCGCTTTTGTTTGATCGCTGATTTGGTTGTATGTGTTTTTATTGTGTGGTGATATGAGCGAGAGTTTGTGTTCCTGATGGCAAAAGAAAACGGGTTCTGCTTTTAGTTTATGATGAGCTGATTGTCCTGATAAAAATGTCTCGTTTCTTCATAACTTGGAACTGGGAGTTGGAAGGTTGTTGATATGGACCCTGAGCTTTGTGACTTTGGGGTAAAGGTCTTAACATGCTTTGACCATGATGGGACTGCGACACGTTTAGTCTTGAGTGGCTCTCAACCATATTTTTACCTGAGCTGAGCTGATGGGCACCAGTCAGTGAGGCACAGAGGACCTCAGGGAACTTCCAAACTAAATGTAGCCCTTTACAAAACACCACTTACATCTTACTTAGATCAAGAACCAACAATTATGACTGATGACGTGAAATATTAAAGACCTAGCGCCCCCCCAGAGGAATGCACATCTCCCACATCCTTTCAAGCCACAGTTTGAAACTTCAACAAGTCATGAACTGAATGCTGGCCGTTAAAATGACAGCGTCAGAGACACGGCTGTGTTTTCTGAAGTCACTTGGCTGTTGCAGCCATCTTGACTCCGGTTGATTCCAAAAGTTACTCAGTTGTAGAAGTGCGCCCAAATAATGTTTCAAATTGTCCAGTTCACGAGATATTTAGCTAACATTCAGACAGGGTTGATGCCCACTAGTAACGTCAGAGTTTGAGTTGTGCTCGGAGCATGTGTTGGGTGGGACTCTCAGCTACTACCACACCAATTTTTAGCTCAGTGTCTGTAAAACTGGCAGAATTTTACAGTTGATGTGTTTTAGGTGGGTTTGCTGTGGCGGCCATCTTGAATTGGCTTGACTATAAAACTGTCATCCGTAGAGGTGCAAAGTACGATTATTCTATTTTCTTTAAAATCCGTCCTGTAGTTTATGAGATATTTTGCTAACTCTACAGACAAGCCAACATGCACAAACATGATCAGCCTTTTACTGTTTGTAGTGGACAAATGGATAAAGCACTACCAGGGACTTTAGAGTCGAATAGAATTATGCTGCTTTCAGATAAATGTAGCTCATAAGAATCAGGAAGTAACTGATAAAAGTGAAGCTGCTGATCAGCTTCCTCGCCGAACGGAAACTACGACGTGCGATCAGACGCGTTCACACTCGACTGGTAATATATTTTAGAAACCGTGACACCAGATCTGACAACGGGAGCTCAGTTTCCCCAAACAAACCTCCTTTTGTAGAAGGTCTCTGAAAAACATTCACATCCAGCTGCACATTATTAGGAAAACATGCAACTACGTTATATTTGAATATTTGTTACGATAAAGTAACATTTTCTTCACGCCTCTTCTCTTCCTCTGCCGTCACAACGCTCCATGGGCTTCAGCATCTCGGCTACTATTATTTTATAGACACATACAGTAGTTTATCTCCACTTTGTGTCTGCAGTTTATTGCAATACTTTGAATATTGATATTGCAATGATGATAGTTATTGAACATATCGTGCAGCCATAGAAGTATAAAAATATGTTTAAGCTGACTTTGGGTCATGAATAAACATGCTTCCATCATGTCATACGTGTGTATTAAAGGCCTGTGTGTGAAACACAGCAGTGGGTCAAGAGAACGGCTCTTTGTGTGGTTTATTTGAACATTACGTTGTTTGTTCAGGAACAGCTACACACAAACAACAAGCACGGCAGGGTCCCCACTAAACTGCATGGCCCTCTTCCTCTCATGCATGTATCTGCATGGTACCAGATCTTTTTTCTGCATCCCTGTACGACGCAGCTCACGCATTCCGATGTGTAAAACCCCCCCAGCGTCATTCTTCTGCACGTTCTCAACATGCTCCTTTCTGCTCATCCGAAGTGTGACGTGAGACTTTTCTTTCTTTTCAGAAAACGTGTGGATTCTTTCAGCCGCTGCCTCGGGGTTTGGTTGTCAAACAGCAGCTGGCTTTCGTTAGCCAAGTAAACGGTTGTAACGTGATTCTAATGCACGACTAGCGGGACTTTGATAGGTCTGACATGGATCTGGAACTTTTAAAGGATGTGCTGAATTATTGCAGGAAACTGTTTTTAATGTTTAGGCGTCAACAGCTTTGTTTTATTACACGCGTGTCCTCTCTGCAGCACCAGCTGGTGTCTGTTGAGGACTCTTGGTTTATTTATAGCAGTAAGAATGAGCGTTGGCTGCCTCTGTGCAGTCGTCTCCCTTTGAGCAGAAACTTTAAGCCCTTAGATGTTGTGCCCCACCTGTTCAAATGTTTAGCAGATATAGATCGTTGTCGCCTTGTTCTGCTGAGTCCTTCCTCTTTAGAGAAGCGCTGCCAGGTTGCTTTCTTTCTCCGTAAATTTACAGCAAAAAAGGAAACATTGTAACATTGAAATAGAGTCAAAAACACCAAAGCTCTGTGTTTACATGTTAAATCCAGGTGTTTGACCCAGACATGATGAGACGTTTCAACCTTCAGGACTGCGTTCCGATCTGTCGCCCTTTTCAACCCTTCACCAGTTTACCAACAACTATGATGCTCTGTTACTTTTTAAACACTTTGCCTTTGCTTCCAACTTCCTTTCTCTTTCCTCTCTTCTCTCCATCCCTCACTCCCCACTTTTTCTAGCAGCCACCCCCACCAGAGGATGTGCCCCCGCGGCCCAAATCTGGTAACGTTCAGCAAAGGCTGCAAACACTGCGGATTGCCACGCGCTTTTACTGCGCCATGAAACACGTAAGAGATGTAAGAGAACCAGGGCTCATGTCTCAGGCATGATTTATTAAACCGATCTTATTTTATTGTCATTTATTTATTGATTTCACACATTTTAACTCACTTTCTTACTCAGACTGTTTCTTTTTGTTTCTATCCTTCATTCCATGGCACCTACACTAAATTATTAAGAAAAATGTTGTTTTTCCAGAGAGAACTTTTCTTTGCATTTCTGAGGTGTTTACTGCCACTACTAAACTGTGACCAGCTGAGAGATGACCACAAAATAATAATTTTACACAGATAACACTAGGCCTGTCTCGATAACAATTTTTTGCTGGGCGATAATTGTCTCAGAAATTATTGCGATAAACGATAATATTGTTTGAAATTTAACAATAATTAGTAATTGTAAAATTTAAGAAGAAATGTTGGTTAATTTGTTTTGAGTGTAGTATCTTTTTTTGACCACTGGATGGCAGTATAAGACTGTTTGAACCAAAGGATGGATAGTGAGGAGCGAGCAGTGTCTCTTTAAGAAAAAGGGGAGGGAGGCCCCTTGACGTGACATGGGCTGCCTCTCTACGGTTTTCAAAATGGCGGATGCTCTGTGTGATTTGAGCTCTTTAGCATTTTTCACACAAAGCTTTTAATAAAAAAATCAGTAAACAAGTTCTCAGCTTCTTTTTGCAGAGAAAAACAACTTTTTACACGAAAGGCACGAGTTTCAACCGTGAATTTTGGAGCTTCGACAAGACGGAGGTCCGTTAGCTTAGCATGTAGCTTAGCTTCTCAGTTTAGCTGCTTTTAACGATCCAAAAACGTGATTTTGGATCGTTAAAACAGATTTTAAAGAGAAAGGGAGGGGTCAGTGAAGAGCACCGGAGTTGAGCCTTTTGTCATCGAGTGTCTTCAGTAGAAAGAGAGAGACACGAAGAAACGATAAAGGCGATAAATGAAAATGAGGTTGATGATTGATCAAGCGATTAATTGATTTATTGTTTATCGCGACAGGCCTAGATAACAGTAACCGGCCTCCAACTATTAACCATAAGTGTTAAAACGCTACGAATGGTTTTGGGTCGTCTCATCCAGCGAGTCTTTGTTGAGGTCTATTAGTGTTTCCTTCACGACATTTGTAGTAAAACATGATTCTGTTTCGCAGACTTTTTCTCAAGTCCGACTTTTGGAGTTCGGTTCACTCAGGAGTCGCTTCTTTTATGTCGCATTTTAAGCCTCGCAGTGTTCCAGTCAAACGTATACATCCCATAATTGTTGCAAACTGGAGGTCAGCGTGTGTATATCTGTGCTCGAGTGTCCTCGTCGGTGTAATGGGACCGTTTGTGTAAAGACGTTTTGAGTGTGTACGAGTGTGCGTCCTGTCTGAGCTCAGTCAAAGTTGTGTTGCTGCTTCTCTCCTGCTGCCATAGAAACATCGTAGTAGCTAAACTGCAGCTGTTTCCCCGTTACCTCATTTCCTGCTCTTTTTCTTTCCTCGGTGACTTTTAGAGCTAAGCTCCCCGTCCCTCCCTGCCTTACGCCTCCTCCCCCTGCAGGCCGACCTGCAGCAGCATCGTTAAGACGACTCCGACTCCATTTAAATTGGAAGCTCCTGTTGTTTAGGCTGATTAGTGGGAGTTCTGTTCAAACACACACAAAATGAATTTTACATCAACTGATTTAATGTTTTTGACTCGGGCAGACGGACTGAAGTCCGCCCTGGTGCTGAAACCTGCTTAGAGCAGTCACCGTGTTTGGGTCAGAGTTAACGTGCGGTTTGCCAGAATTAACAGGAGAAATAAGAATGTTTAAATGTATAAATGTGCAAACTGTTGCTTCAGTTGACCGCAGTGGTTCTTGGATTCAGACAGGCTTATCTAAAAATCCACAGCATTTCAACAAACGGGATTTCCAGGATTCACACCCACGTTGTTGACTCACTTCTGAGATTAGAATAAATTAATCCATTGTGTCTTTTGAAACGGCCCTTGTTTGTTTGTGTTGAGCAAAACAACATGAAGGTTGTGTAAAGTTTTCTGAGGGTAAAGTAAAAAATATTTTAGTCTGCTTTCTTTGTTTCGTTGCTAATCTCTCGTACCGATGAACAGGCCAAGGAGCTGCCCACCTACAAGGACAATGACTTCATCAACGATGGGCAGAAGATTTACATCGATGGGGAGAACAAGAAAATGTTTTTGGAGAAGCTTAGGAAAGACGTGGAGGTACGTGCTAGATATGTTGACCGCTCACTGTCTCTCATCTCTAGGACTGTCTTGTCTTTCAAGGTAGGGAATCATGCTATAAATCCTGATTATCGACAGCGTTCGTCTCCAAAGCCCCTCAGCATCTCGACCCCCCCACCTAAATCACCATGTTCTCCCATCTTCCTGCCTTCAGTTCCTGGCCCAGCTCAAGCTCATGGATTACAGTCTGCTGGTGGGGATCCACGACGTGGAGCGAGCTGAGCAGGAGGACGTGGAGAGCGAGGACAACGAAGCAGAGGAGGAGGGCGAGAGTGACGGAGGGGGTATTGGGACACCCCCAGACAGTCCCAGCAACACCCTGGACAGCACCAAGCCCCTCTCACCTGGAGAGTTTGATCCTACCATTGACGTCTACGCCATCAAAAGCAACGATGGTGAGCAGACAAGCACTAACCGACCCGAGAGCTCCCCCTGGTGGCGTCAGCTCCTGTCACTGAGAGAGCACTTTGCAGATGAGAAGATTCTCACTTTGGGTTCATTTCAAACTGCAGGCGCTCCGAGGAAGGAGGTGTACTTCATGGCTGTTATAGACATCCTGCAGCATTATGACGCCAAGAAGAAAGCTGCGCACGCCGCCAAAACTGTCAAACACGGGGTATGTCGCACATTTCACCTGACACATTGGATCCTATTTATTAGGAATAAAACAAGCGGGTTTTTAAATGTTTATATTTTTGGACATGAGTTTTTCCAGACTAGAATTAAACGGGGAACGTACGTAAACCTTAATGTTTTAGTGCAACATTTAAGTGGGTACGAGTTGCACCGTGTAGAACAGGTAGTTGTTTTTATTTTTATTTTTTGTTGTTTTTTTACTTGTCGGAGACGGTTCAGAGTGATGCATCCTGGCAAGTGGAGGGGGCGATTTTATCCACCACCAGATGCAATGGAGGAGCCAGGGGGTGGCCAATGGTGGCCTAGGCTACTTTAGATTAATCTTTAGCCACACCTCCAGCCATCACAATCATTCCATATACTTTTAAGCTTTATAAAAACTAGAAACATAGTTTCTCAAATGACTGAGGTGACCAGTTTAGATTTATAGAAGGTGGTGGGCACAGTTCCACTTATCCGCTGAAGCAGAATTAGCAGAAGTAATTTTTTTTTGTTTAGTGAATTAGTGTTTTCACTAACTTTGGAAACTGATAATGGAATTAGCTTCTGCATAATTAGGTTTTGTCAACATTAAATCCACTAAAAAAATTCACACGCTTGTTCCTGTCTGTCGTGGGGGTGTCTCCAAGAGTCCGTTACACAACAAGGTGTCTCTTGTAAACGAGACTCAGTGGGATTAACCTGTAAATAAAGGTTGAATGTTGAAATGCACGATCTGTTTTATTACACAGTTACTTTGCTGTAAAGGTGTTTTAACAAGGATCTGTCACTGGTCACTAATTTAGGAGCCGTCTGAATGAACACTCGTTTGATTTTTTTTAATTATCTTGACTGTTTTTAATTAAATGATTTACAGAAGTTTGTTTAAGCTGCAGAAATGGGCTTTTGAACAAAGTGATTTTATTTAACCAGTTAGATACCTGTGTTGAGTTTTTAATTAAAATAAACCTAACCATGGAAATTTTACTTTTAATATTTTTTTTTTTTTTATTAAAGTAAAATTAGTGTTTTTATGCTTCAGCACCACCATTAATAAAAAAACCTTCACTTGTTCTTCTCAATAAATATTCTCCTTAATTCCTTAAAATCCTCTTCTTTGATCAAATTAAATTGTTTTTATCAAATTAAATTCAGAGTGACAGAAAAGCAGCTTTCACCTTTTATTCCAGCAGATTAATTTAGTCAGCACAGCCTCTTCTGCAGCGATTTATTTGTTTTCAAACACCGCTGCCTTTATGTTTGACTTTATTCTTCACATTTTCTGTTCTTGCTGTTTTCTGTCTTTAAAATTGAACCCCCCCCTTAGAAAACTACCAATCATTGGGCCACGTAGTCAACTTTGTTTCTATTTTCATCTCAGTAGTTTTTCCGTTTTTAAAACCATTTCAATCATATTTCCCATTAAGAGTGTAAGAATTGATTTACAAAAATTAAGGAGTTATTAAAAAATAAGAACATTTCTTGTTTCCGTGTCACGTTATCTTGATGAGAAACTGCATGTTTAGTTGCATGAAAGTCATTCAATTAAAAACGGATATTTCCTGGAGAAATGCATATCGCCCATCGCCTTGCAAGCCCAACTTTTAAACAAATATCTCTTGTGATCTGTTGGTGCTCAGAGTATATGGTGGGGATGACTTTCAGCTACTACCACACATAATTTGAGCTCATTATCTGTAAAAATTACAGTTTTAGCCATTAGCCTACAGACCGGAAACTACATTATCGCCCCACGTTCATTCAACCTTTATTTATACACCGAGCATCAGGGGCTCATTTACAAGAGACACAGAAGAAGAAGCAAAGATAACAAAGCCGAAGTTTAGCTCCTGATGAACACCCATCACTTTGTTTTCTCCACTGTCTGCTCTTTTTTTAAAGTAAACCCAGTGAAGAGTTGTTTTCGTCCCCAGCTTGGTAACAAATGACAAAAAGCCTCTGGAGGAGAAACGTCTCCGCCCGCGGGTGAGTCTCACGTGTTGTTTGTGTTCTCCTCCGCAGGCCGGAGCCGAGATCTCCACGGTGAACCCGGAGCAATACTCCAAGAGATTTTATGACTTCATCACCACCATCCTGTCATAGCCTGCAGGAGCAGCGAGGGGGAGGGAGGGAGGGCAAGAGGGGGTGAAGAAGAGGGAAACTCATCCAGAGGCTGAGTTGTTGTCCTTCACCGCCTCCTTTATTTATTAATTTTTCTTGCTTCTCTCTCAGCGGGGTGCCACACTGCAGCTAAACGCTCGTTTACATTAAACCTCCGTTGAGTTCTGTTCATGTGGGTTTTTTGGGGGGAGGTTGTTAAAAGCACGTGTCCAAGTCATTACATTTTTCATACGAGTTGCTCGTGTTTAATGTTTTTTTATGTAGGCTTGTGGCTTTTTTTTTTATTTTTAATCGCTTCTTAACGCGACATCCAGCACCTGCATGTTTTGTTCCGGTGTTTGTCGTTTTCCTCGTGATGTTTTAGGAGGTTGGGGAGGATTGGGTTTGTTTTCAACGATGAGGCCGTTTTACAGGACGGTCCATTTCCGAGGAGCGGAGAAAGCTCGTGGACAAACAGGAACCAGTCTTCCAGTCGGCCAGTAAACCCACTGGCCAAACAGCTCGTCCTCCTTCGTCTCCTGTTTACACCTCGCTGCGTCCGTCTGATTCCCAGGCGGACCTGAGCGCACGGCTTCTTTGCTTTGAAAATGTCTAGAAGCCTCCGGTGGCCGCTGTAAGAGCGAGTCACAGAACAAACATCAACCCTTTTGTTGCCAGCAGCACCTTATGAGTCGAACCCAAACTGTTGCACTTTTGTTTTGTTGTTGGGAGCCTGTTACAAAGAAGCTCGAACCCTACGAGCCTGCTCTCGCGTCCCGTCTTCCCCACCACGTTTATGCTTTTGAAGAGTTTATTTTTTAATTTGACCAGGGTTTACGATCGCCCTTTTTTTTTTTTTTTAGAAGCGTTTTTATTTCGTCTTGTTCAGAAGCAGACGTTCAGGGCATAAAGAAGGACGTTTACCTCCGACATCGTACCAGCACACACCCTGCGGCGGCCGAGCGTGTGTGTCAGTGTTCAAAAGTTGTAAACGGGGGAGGAGGGGGGGCGTTTTGTTGATTTATTAACACCAAAAGCATCATTTCTCTAACCTGTTTGTGACTCTGATGTTCACCCGCGTTAACGTTTGATATTTTTTATTATCTGTTTTGAATTTGGTGATTTTTATTGTCTTGCTATTTTTTTTTTGTATATTTTGCACAAGAGGAAAGGAACCAAATGTTACGAATACGACCCCAATTAGTCGATACGGTCTTAACAAGGGAAATGCAATATTCTTGTGTGCAAGTGAGAAAAGTAGTTTGTGTGTGCGCGCTCGCGTGTGTGTGACGTCTTTGCCACTCGTCCTTTTTGACTCTTCTAACTCATCCAAAAAGCTTCCATCGCAACGTTTGTTTCTACGTCATAAATAATATTCACATTTATATTTTTACATTGGATTTTAGTCTGAAAATGTAGTGGTATGTAAAATAAAAAAATAAAAAAAGGAGACGGAGCCACTCTTTGGAATGAGTGATGGTGCTGTGGTAATGAAGAATGGTGTTCTAGTTGTATATTAAAAAATGTCAAGAATAAAAAAGAGTGCATGTGACAGGACTGAGTTTCCTTCCCCTTATTTCTGTGTCGTCCACTTTAACCACGTCTGTGACTCGTTCAGTGTTAAATAGTCCCCGCCGTGCTTTAAAACGCCCTTTCTTTCTCTTTGTGTACACTGTGCGAGATGTGTGCCTTTATACTCCAAATTATTTAATTTTATATTTTGTAATCTTTTTTTTGTTTTGTTTTGTTTTTTAAGAAAAAAACTAAATGGTTATTTTAATAATACTTTGTGGTATTTTTTGTTTCCCCGCTCTATATTTACATTTGTAAGCTCCAAAAACAAACCCATTCCTGTTGTGTGTGTTGTTTTTTTATTTTAAAGAAGGTGGATTTTCCTTTTTGTGTGCACGTGTCACCAGTTCTTCCCTGTTGGTGGTGAGTCGTTTATTTCTCTTTAACTGGTTTGGGATTTTTCCATGTGCTCTTAATGTACCGAGTGTGTTTGGCAGTGATGTTCTCTCATCCTGGTCTGTGATGACACACGTCCCGCTGCTGCACCTGCAAATTTTGTTTTTGTGACCCCCTCCATCAGCACCACCCCGACCAGTCAACCTGCCAAAAGCATCTCCTCAGCAGTCCAAACCACCACCCCCGAGCTAAAGAACATGGTGTTTAGTAAAAAAAGTGTCTTTGTTTAAAATATTTCTTTGTTCTTCTGTGGTGAAATCGAGCGAGCTGTGCAGCGCTCGTACGTAACTCTTAAAAACAAGATGCAAAAGACCCAGCATCGCCTGCAGCTGCCGGACAGACTTCTTTAAAAATTATCAGGAGAACTTCCAGATCGCTTTAAGTCGACTGAATGTGTTAAACCGTCGTGCACAAAATCAACTGTACACCTGCAGGGCATGCTTTGGTCTTTCAACAGGTGCTTTTTCCACCTGGTTTGAAACATTTGTGTGTGTGTGTGAGGGAGAGCATGTCTGTGTGTTATACTCTGGCAAGTTTTTCTTTAGTGGAAGATGTGAAAACTGAAATAATTGTATGTTTAATGTACTTCACATTTACTGATAATGCACTGCATTCCACAAGCATTCACTCCAGTTGATTAAAGCACTTGTTCTGCTTAACTTGAATTGTCTTTTTTATTCCATATATATTCATTTTAACGCATAAAATACATGTAAAATAATCCAGATTTCCAGGATATGTGGTTGAGTTAAATATTAAATCTTATCTCTTCTTCTACGGTCATATTTACAGTACATGGAATCAATGCGCGGCCGCCGCAGGTTCACTTTATATAATTAAATCGTCTTGTCATTTCTAGTTACAACGCAATTTTAAAATGGATTTAAAAAGCATAACTATCCTGACACTTGAGAGGAAATAAAATACATTTCCACCACATCACCTGATCAAAACTAGCTAACTGTTGGATATTTTTTATTTATTTTTATTTTGCAACGCAAACAAAGAGTTCCTTCTACTTTGTGTAATTAACGAAAATCTAACATTTTGTTTACGTTCGGACTTTTGCATGTTTTGCTCTTAAGACGTCACTAAAATTAAATGTAGCCGAATTAAAATATATTTTCCGTCATTGGTGGCAGCTGAAACTGTATCCTTCCGCCGGCGGGCTGAGATTCTTCTTCGGTGAACGGAATGTTCGCCCGGCGTGTACATAAACAGATAAAGGCGGTAAATAAAGATGGAACGATGTTAAATCGTGTTTTTCTTTTTTGTACATATTGAATAAATAAATAAATTATCCTGGGAGGGATGACGATGTGTCGCGGCTGCTCTGCCGTGCAGCGGTCTGTGCTAATGCAGAATACAATGAGGAGACAATAAACAAAGAGCCGCTCGCGCCATGTGCGCTGCAGCTGCTGCACGCGCACAGCTGAGCTGCAGTGCGCAGCCGCAGTCGCCAGGCGGCGCAGCGGCTGCTTTCAGGGAGGGCGTGATCCTATTATTTAAACGTTTTCATTAATTCACGATTCAAAATTATAAAAGAATAAAATATTTATATATTAATTAATTTAGTTTTTAGACATGGTACAGTAAAAAAAATAAAAAATAAATCCAGCTTCTGCCCATATCTGCGCTGTCGCTAAACTTGACCTTTGACCTTTCTATAATGTGTACATAAGAATATAGTTTCCAACTCCATAAAAACCCACAATGGCCATAAAATAATCTCCAAGTCTTCAACTACTCTTAGATTTGGCAAATAAATTTTTAAATGGAAAATTCTTCAGTTTTGATAAATCAGCTTGGTTTTTTTTAGGCACATTTTGTCATAAAGTTGTTTTTTTTACACACACCTGGAGAACTGTTAGATTCTATATCCGTGTCAAAATGTTACTTTTTGTCTTTTGATAGCTGAGTAAAATGACTCCATCTGTTCCTCTGAACTGCAGATGTTCGCCACCGTTATTTAACCTCAAAAATCGTAATAAAATGGCTCTAATTTAGCTCAGTTTGCACATATTGAGACACATTCCTGTGTGGTAGTAGCTGAGAGTCTTTCACAACGCTGAGCAGATGGCTGCGGTGTAGTCGTTTTCAAGATTCAACCAAAGTGGCTGTTATTTCTCAGTGTGAGATGGTGGCGGGAGAGACGCCGGCATCAAGATCCTGCTGAAGCTGAAGGTTACCACGGCAACTGCTCAGGTAGCCGAGCAGGAAGACCTCGGCCTTTGAGTGCTTCCTGAACATCCCGTCTCGGTTTCCTGAATATTTTCAGTCATTTGGATCCAGCTCTTGAATAATAATTAATGCTCCTCTCAGCACGGTTTGGGTCCAGCACGGTTTGGGTCCAGTGTTGTGCCTTTGTGGACGGAGACACTTTGCACGATGGTCTCATCGGCAGAGGGGGTGAACACGTCAACCTCAGTTTCCGTCGTTTTCAATGTTGGATTTGAAAAAAGGACGGCAACAGGAAGTCAACATTTGTTTATACTTCTGTGTTTCTAGCCTTCTTTTGAGCATTTAATCTGTTTTTTTATGCATTTCTGTTGTTTTTATAAACAGACTAACTTCTAAATAGACGTGTTTCTTTTACAGAATTAAGAAAGTCTTGGAATCTTATTCAAATTACTCTTTAAATTAATGTGGATGATTTTTTTTTTAGTAGACAGCTTGTCCACTCTTAAGTATCCCTCCATATTACTCACTTTAAATTAGGGTTTTGTTTTGTTCATTAAACATTTAAGGAAGTTTGTTTTCTAATATGATATAAAATTGTTTTAATTTTTTTTTAAGAATAAAAAACAAGCATCTAAATAAAAATATGTAAAATGTTGGCACTCTAAATTACAAATATTTAAAAGTGCAGTTTAAAATACGTCAAGAAGTGCAAATTTTTAAAAATAATTTAAAAAATGTGCTTTAATCTGACAAATTTTAGATATATTTCCTTTTAAAGATATTAAAATGTTTATTTCAACAAGCATCAGAGTTTTAAGGCTGTCCTATAGAATAAAAAAGTTTTAATTAAACACCTTTTGTCTCATTCATAATTATTACTTCATGTCAGAATTTTTGTTCTGTTCTCTTTTATTCATTTGTGATTTCATTGTATATTCTTTAATTTTAAGGCCAAAACAAACAAACAAAAAGCAGAGACCTAAATATTTTCTGAATTTATTTATTTTTATTAATTTAATTCAGCTCCTTATATTTTTTTAAATGCAAGTATTTGCATCTGTGCTAACTGCTCAGTGTTTTTCTAACTTAAGTGTTTTTTTAAATACAAAATATGTTATTTTTGCTATTTGTTTATTCTTTGTGTTTGTTTTTTAGTGTCCATCCCAGCATGAATGTTCAAGATGAATTACAGGGAAAAATAGAATTAAATTCACGGTCGTAAAAAGAAAATGTTATTTATGTAAGATGTGATGCTAAGAAGCACAAAAAGACAAAATAAAGTTGAATAAAAGGCAACATGAAGATCTTTAGTTGCGCAAATGAGGAAAATATTTAGAATTAATTTTTTTTTTTGACAACACACAAAAAAAAAAAAAAAAAAGCTGCTTTCCCTCCTGATGATTCAATAAAAGGGATCCTAAGATCCGAGTGGTTTTAGAGTAGATCTTGTCATGCAGATGTCTGGACCTGTATGATCCAAACTGTGCAGAAAGTTCTGCTGAACCTGAGAGGGGCCGAAGCAGCAGCTCTGAGGATCCTCTGAACTTTTATAAAATAAAAACACCAAAATCACACGACTTCTATTCTGCAAATTTAACCGTGTGAACACTGGACCAGGAAAAATGGTGCAACACGGACATTATGGACACGTGCACGGCCAAATGTCAGAACCTCCTCCAAGTTCTGAAAGTGAACCGGGATGAACACGGTGAGTTTATTTACCGTCCTCTTCGTGGCAAAGAGACGCTGTTTTACCAGATTGGGCCTATTTTTATAATTAAGGAGAAACTGTTGCCTTTATGTAACTTTTCATGAACATTTTCATCCTTTAAATTATGCTAAACTTTGTTGTGTTTGATGTTATATGACAAATGTCATCTAACACTCTTTGCTTTTTTTGGTGAACATTATTGTATTGTGTTGTTTGTTTGTTTGTTTTTTCTGAAGATGCTGTAGTCAATGCACAATGGATCCTAATGTTAAATGAAATAAATAAATAATGTTACTGTGAACTTCTAACTTTGTGATTATTTTGATTTTACAAAGCCATTCAGTAGAATATTATATCATTATATGGTCACTGTGGACAGTTTAAAAATAAAATCAAATGACTCAATATAATGTACTTTTTAAAGTTTAAAATTAAAAACATTACTCTCAACAATGCGAAGCGTCTTAACTAATTTTACTAATTTAATTTTGACAATAAAACGAGTAAAATTAACAGAAAAGTTTACACTAATTTTGACTAAATATCTGAAACAGAGTTAAATTCAACTTTCTAGGTGTTAAAATGAAACTTTGTTGTTTTGTTTGTTTGCAGTTTTGTTCTTCTCTAATTAATGATCCAATGATCAGTTTAGTTCAGGTAAACAGTCCTAAATATTTTAGTTAGTTTATTGATCTGAATGCCTCCTATAAATATTATAAAGGTGTCACATGTTCAGTTTTCATGCACGTGGCTCCATACCTGCCCTGATGGAGGATTTCTAGTCTTCTTGGGTGAGTCCTCGCGCAGAAAGCGCGTTAATCACGAGCTGCGCACAAACAGCATCAAGTGAGCTGACAAAGATCGTCTATTATTAGACACATCTCTCACTCTGGTGCGTCGTGCCCGCATTCCACTTTGCTCGAGTTTATGGAGTTGGACTTTCACTCACGTGTCTATCTCTGACCTGCGTGTCTTCAGTTCCCGCTAAAAGCAGAAAAGCGCACGTGTCGCTCAGCCTTTGATCTTGACTGAAGCCGACTTAAAGGAAACTGAAACGTTATTAGAAAAACGAAGCTGAAGCAATCCCGATTAATAAAACTGACTCTCTCTTTTCACCTCAATCTGCTTCCGGTCCAGACAGGAAGACACCGTGAGATGAAATTATAACCTGAAGCTCAATTTCCTTTAGTTTCTTTATTTTATTATTGTTTGGTTTGTTTTTAGGTTCCAGCACCGTCTTGTCCAGAGTGTCTCTGAGTGGTTCAATGAATTAAATTAAATTAATTGTAAATAAAATACAACTTTTCTACAACTGACCTATTTTATGTGAGTCAACACAAAACATTTAAAAAGAGGGTTGGTGAATTAATGAATAAATTGTTCAGATAAAAAATGAACAGAGGAGAAATTAATGAATATGTGCTATTAAAATAAAATATATTTATCTGTGTCAAACAAATATTGTATTTGTATTTATTTATTTTTATTTATTAGGCTGTTTGTATTTTCTGATGAAAAAAAAAAAAAAAAAGTCCAAAAGGAGAAGGATGTTTAAAATAAATAAATAAATAAATGATTTCCGAAACAAGTAATCAGTGAAAAATAAAAAATAATAAAAAACAGATTTCTGTTCGTTTCTTTTTGCTTGGTAAACCTGCTGAAGGAAAACTAAAGCATAAAATAATATAAAATTGTTGTTTTAGAGAGAGAAAACACGTAAATAAGCAGAACGTTATATATTACCATAGCTCAGAGAAAATAATATTTTAATCTAATATCTTCCTTTTCGTCTATTTTTATTTTTTATTTAGACTTTTGCTCTAAAATCTGAAGTTATTTTCGATAAATATTCAAGTCGAGTTGTTTCTCCTTCACGTCTCTCTCTCGCCGGATGTTTTTATTCACAATAAATCTGTTTTTATTTTTATTTACTTTGTGACGTTTTCAACTTTTCTGCTCAGAAACTGGAATTAATAAATATTAAAGCGCAAACTCCGTTAAAGATCTTTTGTCTTTGTTGGAGGAAAAAACGGATTCTTTTTCAATCAGGTCTGCTTCCTTTCAAAGTAAAATACCCTCTGACCGTCTACAAATTAAAATAATTCATGAATCCACAACTTATATTCAACATTTAGCACGCGCCACTTTTTATCGCCCGCCCGCTGAAACGCGATAGAGGACGAGAACGTTCGTGTCTGTTAGCAAAATATCTCACGAACCATTGGATGAATTTTAACTAAACTTGCAGGTAATAATTATAAGATTTATTTCTACATCTGATTATCGTTTTGAGTTAACCTGATCCAACATGGCCGCCGCAGCCCGTTGACTTTAAAAAACATTTAAAAAGCTACAACTCGGTCAGTTTGACAGATTTTCAGCTAAAACTTGATTTGATAGTAGCTGACATTGATTCCCAACACACACTCGGATTGTGCTTTATCTTTGTTTAAAATGTTGCCATGAACTGGAGCTGAAGTTATACGTCTGTTAGCAAAATATCTCAAGAACCACCAAAAGGATTTTAACGAAACAGTCAGAAAATAATCACTGGATTTTCATTTACAGATTAACAATTAAAGCAAACCCTTTATAAAGTGGTCGTCACAGCCAACTCATTTTAAAAAACTCAAACTGCTTTAATTAATTTGACATGAGCTAAAACTTGACACGGTAGTAGCCGAGGGTTGTCTGTGCTCTGAGTGTGACGGTTCATAAAATTGTGCACCACTTTAATTTTAAGTAAATGAAGTTTATTTTCTGCTCCAGCAGACATCTGGCGCTCTGCACCTTCTGCCTTTTATTCCAGTTTAACTCGTGCAAAGAAGCACCAGATGTTCAGAAACAGCAGCAGTTTTCTCCATAAGTGTAAAATGTTTTATTTAGATGTTTTATACTGTGCAACAGTAACAATACAGAAAGTTGTTCATACAATCGAGCGATACAAATACAGAAAACGGACACGTCCAGATAAAGTCCTTCCCTCGGAACAAAGAAACAAAACGGATTAAATATGCTTCTTGTCGTTTATTTACACGCAGAGGAGGAGAAAGCCGGTTCTACTGCAGCTACATTTCATTTCCGGTAAAAGGCTTCTTTTGAAGTTAGCAGGTCTGTACAAACTTGTGTCCTGAACACTGGAACTTTTCATCTCGTCCCCCTCGGAGCAGAAAAACGTCCCCGTTAGCATGCATGCTTGGAACTGTGCTTCAAAAATATCCCAACACAGGAAGTTGAAAACAAACCCACCTCCGTCACTTCTGTGAAATAAAGACGCAGCTTTAAAAGAAAAGAGATAAATCTTCTTCTTCTTCTTCTTCTTCTTCCCGACGGCTCCCTTCAGATTCACCGAACACTGCCCGGGTTCCTTTTATTGTGAAAGGTCTCCGTTTCCGCTACGTTCAAACGTACAAATGACGTCATGATATTAACAACAAATGGAGAGAAAGAGAGAGGACATCGTCTACACAGTGGAACTACGTTGGCATGAAAACAGCGTTACAGCTGAGCGGGTGTGCAGCGGTCGCTGCTCGGCTCCGGAGCCCCGCGTCACCCGGAGGACGTCGTCGAGCCGTTCAGGGAAACCTTCCGCAGGGGGTTACCGCCGCCGCTGCTGCCGCCGAACTGGTTAAAGGGCCGGTTCAGGGTTGGAGCTGTGGCCGTCGCCGCGGTGCCGTTCACTTTGCCGGGGCCGAGGGGGAGCTGAGGGTGCGGGGACGGAGCAAGCGCCCCGGGGCTCGGCAGCGAGGAGGATGTGGACGGAGCCCCGGTAGGGCTCCCGGCTTTGTCGCTGGCGGAGTCGCTCTCCGGCCCGCATCGGCTCGTGCTGTTCTGACCCTCCTGCTGCGCATGAGTCACCTTCATCTTCTTGCAGTTGGGTCGAACCCGGTACTGGAGCGGCAAAGGTCCGTTCTGTTGGGGAGGAAAGCAGGACGGAGGACGAAATGAGCACAAACACTTTTACTTGTTTTAGCACGACTTCATTTAAAAGCCCGTTAGCAAAAGTGGCTAACGTTAGCATAACATAAAAAGGCTTTTTGCCCCTCTCCCCTCAGGAGGAGGTTGAGGAGCAGCTTCTACCCTGAGGCTGTTGGACTCATGAATCCTTAAATCAGCACCGTGAGAGAAAAAAATCACTGTACTGCCACTTTGTTGATATGTGCTGCTGATTATCCATGCTGCTGATCTCATGCTGCTGATTTATTTCATGCTGCCGTGTTCATTCGTTCTCATCTGCTCATGTTCGAGCTGCTGCTGTTCGGCGCATTGTTTTTGCACCATTAAGTGTATTCTTAGTTTAGTGTATCTCTTAATTCATATCTTAGCTCTTATTACTGTTTTTCTTTACAATTTATACTTTTTCTATTGTTGGATGTAACCGGGACCCTGTGTACATAATTTTGTTCCACCTCATGTACCACATGTGATGTGAATGAAAATAAAGAACCTTGACCTTGATAACATAAAAGGGCTTATTTCAAATGAAACATTAAAAGTGGCTAACATTAGCATAATAGAAAAGGGCTCTTTTTAAACAAAACATTAATAAAAGTAGTTATGATTAGCATTACATAAAAATGATTATTTTAAATTAAACGTTTTAAAAAAGTGGCTAACATTAGCTTATCATAAAATCGCTTATTTTAAATGAAATATTAATAAATGTGACTAACATTAACTTAACAAAAAATAGCCACTTTTATTAATGCTTTATTTAAAATAAGCTAACATTAGCATTACATAAAATTGCTTATTTTAAATTAAACATTTTAAAAGATGGTTAACATTAGCTTAACAAAAAATAGCTTATTTTAAATAAAGCAATAATAAAAGCGGCTAACATTAGCATTACTTAAAATCGCTTATTTTAAATAAAACATTAATAAAAGTAGTTAAGATTAGCGTTACATAAAATTGCTTATATTAAATTAAACATTTTAAAAAGTGGTTAACATTAGCTTATCATAAAATCGCTTATTTAAAATAAAACATTATTAAAAGTGGCTAACATTAGCATAACATAAAAGGGCTCATTTTAAATAAAGCATTAATAAAAGTGGCTAACATTAGCCTAACATAAAAGGGCTTATTTTAAATAAAAAGTGGCTAACACAAGCATAACAAAAGGATACATTTTAAACATAACATTAATAAAAGTGGCTAACATCAGCATATCATAAAATCGCTTATTTTAAATGAAATATTAATAAAAGTGACTTAACATAAAATAGCTTATTTTAAATAAAGCATTAATAAAAGCAGCTAACATTTGCATAATAGAAAAGGGCTTATTTTAAATAAAACATTAATAAAAGCGGCTAACATTAGCATAAAATAAAAGGGCTTATTTTAAATAAAACATTAATAAAAGCGGCTAACATTAGCATAAAATAAAAGGACTTGTTTTTAATAAAATATTAATAAAAGTATCAATCATTAGCATTACTTAAAATCGCTTATTTTAAATAAAACATTAATAAAAGTGGCTAACATTAGCATAACATAAAAGGGCTCATTTTAAATAAAGCATTAATAAAAGTGGCTAACATTAGCTTATCATACAATCGCTTATTTTAAATGAAATATTAATAAATGCGACTAACATTAGCTTAA